CACATTCTCTCTGTCATGATGCCAACAGCTGTTAGGCTCTATTAATGGTCTCCAAAATTATAACCTGTTTCCACAACTTATGTTCTCTATATGTTATCCAGCCCTAGGCATTTCATCATTGTAATGAAAAATAGACTAACAGAAGAGATGTATAAAATCACCAGTTGCAGGGTAGGGGGTACAGACAGAATAATTGCAAAAGAGAGATCAACACAAAATAAATAGGTTTCAGTTAATGCTATATTGAAGGAGATAAAGCAAATGTGTCTCCATTACTTATTAAGAAGTTGTAACTTGGGACCTGCTAAAACATATAATTTTTTCTGAAAACCTTCCATTTTTATCTAATCTGGCATGCTATAACGAGAGAGCATCAAATGAGAGGACTAGCAATCTAGTGTAAATGAAATAAATAGCGACAAGCAAGTCTGCCCTTTGAAAACCCTTAGAATGGGAACTTCTGATAATAGCAGAACAAAAGATGCCTATGCTTCCTGGGTCTTCTCCTGCACTCAGCAGTGGTTGGACTGCTCAACCCCACTGCCAGTTCCTCTCCCTCTGTCTGTCTCAGGCTCCTCTGGCTCTCTGCTCTTCCTGCAAATGTACCTGTTCATAGGTGATAAACAACATCCTTGAATTTTTATGTCTGCAGCTGACTTCATTCACACTCCCAGCACTCAATACACTGGCTGAACCCTGAAAATTATATTGCTGGATACCAATCAGAAACAAAAATATCTGTATACCTATTTTGTTTTTCTAGAAAACGTTTTTGACTGTTGAGTCTTAAATAAGCTTTTCCTATTCCATTCTCTCCACTCGTGTCTTGGCAAACCCTTGACTTTGCTGCTGTGACGTTCCTTGACAGTATGGAAGCTACAGCACATGAAGTGGGGCCAGTAAAATAAGGCAGCTATAGGCGAAATATATGCCTGCAAATGATGAAATTTGTTGAAAGGATAAGCTTCTGTCTGGGAGACAATATTAAACTTGTATCTGATGGCAGGCTTATATCCAGTATACATAAAGAACTCTCAAATTTCAATTATGAGAGAATAAACATCCCAGTTTTTAGAAGTTGGAAAAATGTGTGAACAGCTATTTCACCAAAGATCCATGAGTGCCAAGTAGCCATATACAGACACTCAGTATAGTCATGAAAGACAAGCAAATTAAAGCTGCAAAGAAATTCCATCCCATCCTTATTAAAAATTAACACCATCAACGAAATATTCAGTGCTTATAAGGATGCAGAGAACACAAACATTCATATTCTACTAGTTGAACCGCAAAAGGGTTTGCAAGTTTGAAAACTAGACCGGTACCTTCTTACAAAGTACAAATACATTTACTACCCAGTCTCCAAGGCATTTATACAACTGAAATGAAAACTATTTTCTAAGAAATAGAGTGGCTTAAAGTGGCATTATTTAAACAGTCAAAAAAGAGTATCTCTCAACTGCATAATGGATGAGCATTACATTCATAAAAATAGAATACTATTTAATACTAAAAGGATGACTGACTGATAAAGGCAACAATGTGGCTGAATCTCAAATGCAATGAATTTATTGACTCTATTTATATGATATTTTGCAGAAAGTGAGAGTAATGATTTAAGATGATAAAATGATGCAATACGGAGACAGCAAACAGGGTAGGGATAGAGGTAGACTGCAAAGGACACTAAGAACTATTTTCAAACTTGATTGTAATAGCCTTGATACTCTACACACTTGCCCAGACTTTGCAGAACTGTATACTAAAGAGATGAATATTACAACAAATAAACTGTACCTTAATATAAAACGGAAAGATAACACTAGGAAATTCTAGAGGAAAAGGAAAAGAATTTTTAGATCAGAACAGAAAAAATTCTGAGGCTATATCAAAATCAACTTGAACTTTTTCCAGACACTATCTGAATTTTCAATATCCTAGTGTAATTCTAATATCACGTGAGAATGATGGGTAACCAGTAATAAAGAATCACCCCAACACTGCCTTCATTTGACTCTGCTCCCTTGTAAGCCCACAAGCTTCTGTGCACACCCCATCTGGCATCTCTGCATACCCCTCTCCGTGATACTCAGAATGCTTTCTATTTATTAAGAACTTGAAGTTGCAAAGAACTGTCTTATAGACATCTGGGGTTCAGACATTAAAAAAAAGCACATGAGAAAATTCACCCATAAAGGAGTCGAGCAGGAATGACAACAATAAGGGATGTGCAACAACCTGATTCTCAGAAAGAACCAAAACTTGGGGGATATAAAGCTGGCAATTTTATATCCACGTGGTGTGATAAAATAGCCCTTTATCAAACCAATAACGAGAACCAAACTCTGCAGTGTCTTACTTTGGTAATAACCCATCCTGGGGAAAGCGCTGAAGGAAGGATCCTGAGATTAAACCTGAGACCTCCTGCCCCTGTCAGCAGACAGCCCTCTGCAAACTGTTAGGGTCCTTCTTCAGAAAGATGTGCATGCACACCCACTTCAAGTGGTTTCTGGGAAGATGAACAAGTTGCAAGCAGATGTATCACCTGGCCTCATGGCAGCGGAGCAGGAACTCCCAAGATCCTGATTGACAGCAGACAGGAAATGTCAGAGACTGACAGGGGCAAGGGACAGAGGAAGCCCTCTGGCTTTGTGCTCCAGGAAGTGGGCAGGAGATTCCTTCTCACATCAGTGAGAGGACCTATACTCAGACCCAGTCCTATCTTGCCATTTTACATTTCTACCTTCAAACTGGCTCTTCTGGGAAATCACAGGAGAGGGACAGCTTTGAATGGCATAACAGGTAGTCCTGAGGAAGTGCTGTGAATTTAAAATGTTTCTGTTGGAGGAACCAGCGTTAACTTTGCTCACCACCATAAATGATATTTCAGTTATGTAGAAAACTATCCTTATTTTTCAAAGATGCATATTGGGGTATTTAGAGGTGAAATGTCATATCTAGAGTTTGCTTTTAAATCTTCCAGCAAAAAGCAAACAAATAAGAAGCAAATGTGGATAATCTCCGTTTCTGTTCCTTGCAGATGATATGTTGGTGGTGATTCATTTTGCTGCCACCTACATTTCTTTGTATTCCAGAAGATACTATTAACACAGTGCTTTTTAAAGCAACAAGGTGGAGCCAGGTATGCTGGGGCACACCTAGAATCTCAGCACTTGGAAGATTTAGAGTGAAGGATCCCAAATTTGAGGCCAGCCTCGGCTAGACAGTAAGACCTCGAGAATAAATTAAAAAGAGATATAGTTTGTAAGTGAGAAGTCTTCTTTCTACTGTCCTCCAGCGATTTTCCTGGAGAACTGCACAGTGATGATTAGGTGCCCAGCACATGTGTCCTTAAAAGTTGCCTGTTCTCATTTCACAAGGCCCAGGCTGAGAGGAAAGGAGGCTGCAGGCAATGTGTGCTAAAGGGGAGGCAGGTTGACTTCAGCCCAGTCTTGGATTAGCCCACCATAGCCTGCCTGGTCACTGCCAGGCACTGGCTAGCTGCCCCAGGGTTGTTTATAGAAAGTCCCCTCAGGGGGCTCTTGAGTTTTGTCTTTCACTCCTTTGGGGTCCAACTCACTGGGCAGCTAATCTAATCAGTGAATCTATGCTAAATTATTAATGGGATCCCAGAGGTTAATCTGTAACAAGCAGACACTCCAACACAGGCATGCTGGAGACATAAGGCTGCTGGGAGTCATTAGAGTCTTGGTGGGAAATTGGAGCACAGAGCAGACCGCCTCAAATCAAACCAAACTCCAGGCTGGCCATTCTACTGTCTTGCCAGGAAATGTAATTCCAATGAATGAAGTTGAATCCACAAAGGGGCCGACCCAGAAAAGCTCTCTATCCAGACTAGATCAATGATCAAAGGGTTGTGGGAAATGGTAGCAGTATTATCACCTTGGGCGAATCTACTTTAGGAACTTCTGTGTTCCTAATTAAAACGTGATTCAGAGGAGTATCTGGCAAGGCCCCACCCCTCACTGGGAATTTCTACTCAGTTAATGGTTGCTGGAATTGAGGGAGAGACATTTACCTCAGTGGTGTACCCACTCATAAGGTGCCCATTCTCCTGTAAACAACTCTAATAAAACTCACTGGGTCATATAAAAAGTTGGGGGGAGGCATGAAAGTAGAAGAGGGGTTAATTGGAAAGAGGAAGGGGACCAGTGGGAGTGGGAGGGGACAACAAAAAGTAACAAGGGGCATGAACATCATTGCATTATATGTATAAAAGTGTCATAATGACACCATTATGTGTCATTATACTAATAAAAAGCAGTTTAAAAACCTTATATAATCCTCGCAATCGGATCCAATTTTGTGATATTGTAAAACACTATCATCTGCAAAATTCATGCTCAAGATCTGTGCAATTGAGTCATGAAAAGAAAAAAAAAATCACAAAATATCTTATAATGTTTTACATAAGTTCATGATTTTGTGTTGGGCACTCTACCCTGGGGCTCATGCCACTGGTTGGATAAACCTGCTAGATCTTGTGTCAAGTAACAAATGGCATGCTATACAAAGAAACAACATGCCCCTAACCCCAGTTCTTTTTTACCTGTATTTTCTTATTATGAAAATACTACAGAATAATGTCAAAAGAATAAAATTATCCAAGAGGGGCTGGAGAGATGGTTCAGTCGTTGAGCTTGCCTGCTCTTGCAGAGGATCCGGGTTTGATTCCCAGCACCAACATGGTGACTAACAACAGTCTGTAACTCCATTTCCAGGTTATTGCATGACATGGGTGCATGTACATACATGAAAGCAATATACTTATACACATTAAGAAAAAAACCATACAAAAACTTAAACTTGAAAAGTAAAGATTGCCTGTGTTCTTTGCAAGCAGGATCAATCATTCTCCATTCTTTCAGGTTTTTGTTAATGATGTTTTTTCTCAAACATACATAAGCACACACATAAACTTTTTGATATGTGCTTGTCACCTATATGTTCACTTAATATGGCCTTCCAGGTTTGTTAATATAAATCTATATTGTCATTTGTAATGGCTGCACAAGAATCCACCATGTTATGTTATAGTAACAATGTAATGTATTCATCTGCCCTCTTCCTGGGGGTTACTTAATTCCTCTCCTTTCCTACAACAACACAACACTTAGCAGCTTATAAACACCTGTACACAACACTGTCGAATTATTTCCTTAGGTGTGACGTTGATGGGTCATGGAGTACATAATTCTAAATGCCCTAAGAAACAAAACAGCTGGCCTTGATGTGATAGAAAGACGAGAGAAATTTTACTAACAGAAGACACTATTTTTCAGGGCCAGGCAAACAGCCTCTCTCTTACTCACCTACCAGCAAGTCAGACTAGCTCACTGATAGGACCTAAATCTTCTTGTGAAAGACTCAGGGTCAAACAGAAACAGAGCTTGAGGCTTGGGGATGGGGGCTTTGTAAAGTGTTACCCCTGCAAGCATGAGGATCTGAGCTCTACCACCTGACCCCATGATAAAAAGCCTGCACAGTGGTACAAGCTTGCCATGGTAGAATTGGGAAAAGCAGAATCCCAGAGGCCAGCCAGTGTAGCCAAGTTGACAAGATCCAGGTTCAGTGCAAGAGCCTGTCTCAAAGAAATAAGGTGGAGAGTGACTGAGGAAGACACTTGACATCACCCTGTAGCCTCTACATGTCTGTACACACACATGTACCCACACATACAAACATACACACATGCACACAGAACTTGCCTTTTTACTTGGAAGCAAGCAATGGAAAGAGCAGCAAGAAATGGTTTACAGAAGTAGGGCCCTCTCTGAAGGACTCTCACAGCCACTGGGTCTCATGGGGTGAAGGGCAGGTGGACAATGAGCTCAGTAAACTTAACCCATTGCTGTCATAAAGACATGTCACTGGAAGAAGACACTTTGTTCTCCTTTATCCGGAATACCAAGGCATTTGCAAACAGAATGAAAAGACAAATAAATGTATATATATTTATGTAGCTCAAACACACACACACACACACACACACACACACACACACACACACACTGATCTCAAAACATAACTGAGCTAAGAAGGGCCAAGAGAAGCTTTATATGAATAAAATTTTATCAGTTTTATAATTCTACCTTGGGTATAGAGGAAGCTCTGCCATTGACTGGCAGATTGGCTAAGTCTCACAGTCCATTTAGGATGCAGTTACGATGAAGCTACTATTTCCTTTGGGTTTGGTGTTTTAAGTTTTCCCTCCCTTACCACAGTGTTTTGTTTCCTCTTTTGGTGAACTTTTTTTTCAATCTTCCATTCTGTGAATACCTGCCAGATCCTATCCTGAGACCTTCATTATTTCCTGCTCATTTCTGCACACACCTTGGAAGGCCCCTGTTACTTTTGCCTAATATTCTATAACATGCTTGAGATCACATGAACTAGAAATGGGATGGTTTATTTTATTATCGTGACATAGAGGAGTAACTCAGTAAGTGCTTGATGGCACATGAAATACATGAACACAAGAATGAGCACGCAAAGGTAAACCTTCCTTTGCGAATCCATGGCTTCCACTGTGTGAGAGATGCCTTCGCATATTTTAATACATTATCTGATATTCTTTTAATGAACATGAGACCTACATCAAGAATCAGAAATAAGCAAGACCTACATTCCTTCCTTATGCAGCAGTTCAACAGCCAGAGAAACCTGCCCTGCTGAGAATCTCACAGTTCAGCAACTGAAGGGTTACACTTAGCTCTGCATGAGGTTTCTATGGGACATTCCCAGACTTGAGAAAGGACAAGTTCTAAGAGGAGGCATTGAATATTCAGGGCATCTTGAAAATAAGCAACCAGCTCTACATTCTATAACTTCATTTTCCTCTTTTATCTAGAACTAGACTGTTGAACTAGACCCAACTACTGAGGATTATTCCAGTTCAAATATTCTATTGCCCTATGAGAAAGGGTCAGAAAGCATTGCCACAGAAAGTCAAGCCCAGAGCATGCAGGCAACACATGTCAGGTAGTGATTAATGCCTTGAGTTCACCTGTAGCAGCCTGACCATTTACCTGAACATCTCAACTGCTTGTTTACAATCATTGCATCTCAACACTTATTAAAACCATCAACATGACTCTATCCATTTGCCTGAAAGAGAGGCTGGTTGTTTCCTTAGTTTTAAGAGAATCTGCTTTCGTATGAGGAAACTCCAGAAGTTTATCGGAGGTAACATTACTAACCAGTTCCCTCGGTTGGAAAAGCCACTGTAGCTGAACAGATATTAGTAGGCAGTTGTTTTCCTCTCTGGAAAGAGATAATAATTTGCATCCCCACTCTGCGTTCACTCCCTAAGCAAAGACTACCTGGTTTTGGAGGTTTCCAAAACCTGCTGGTCCATCCAACAGTGTTGGTGAATTGTACCATATTCCAAAGTTCTTTCCAACTGTTCTGAGATTCCTGCATCTGAATTCAAAGAAGGGGTGCAGAAGCAGTTGGAAGGGAGAGACCAGAGGGGCACAGTCCAGTCACAACCTTTAGCAGAACCAAAACTGCCAGGCTCCTGACTTATCACACAAGGTGAAAGGCTCAGCAGATTGGTCACTGGCAAGTGAAAATTGGCAAGAAAAGCAGCACTTGGTCTTGGCGAGTTAGAAGGCAGCACCCTCATGCCTCAGTATGAGCAACGGCAGGCGCCTAAATGAGTTGTCCTGAAAAGATGAAGCATCTTCTATGGATTGTCCTCAATTTTACATTTTAAAACAAACATTCTCTGTGTTTTTAACAAAATTTGGAAACATGTTCTCTGGTCCAGAAAAAAACAAAACAAAACATCAAAATCTATGAACTTCGGTCATATAATTCATTTTAAAAAAGAACTTTGGGTTTTTTTTTTTTTTTTGAATGGCAGTACTAAGACGCTCCACCCTGCTTCCCTTTCCCACATATGTTCCTACAGAGTTGTGCTGGGTGGTAGAGGAGGCAAACACTGTGGGGCTTGACTGTCTGTGAGGCGTTGGGTGGGTGATTTTGTCTATGTGAGGATCACTTTCTTTACCAGATGGGAGGCACAGGATTGTGATGCCCGTCTTGCCAAGCCTGTGGTGAGGGTGAAGTGGAATGGCGTACGTGCCATGCTTTGCACAGTGATTGCCCAGAAGACAAGGATATCCCTCAGCAGCTTCTTCAGAAGCTGTTCTGTGGCCACTTTGGGGCCTAAGATGTCACAAACATGAATTAAACATGCTTTTTCAGTGAATTAAACACTACAAGCATTATCTCAGTGTCTTTTGAACATGTATTAATTAGATAGAATAATAATAATATATTTCCTTTTTATCACATGCTATAACTCAAGCATGCACATGTTTAAATATGTGCTTGCTAATGTAAATTTGGAAAATCAAAAAGAAAACATCAGTAGTCTTACTAAAGTCAAAAAATAAAAATAAGACAAATGTCTTAACTATCAATCTAGGCAGCAGCTGTCAGGTTTGACATGATGAAAACTCCTGGGACTACTGATTCTGAGGGCAAACACCCACGCCAACTTTTTGGCTTTTCTTTTTGCCTTTTTTCTTTTGAGACAGAGCTGTAATATATAGACCAGGCTGTCCTGGAAGTCACAAAGTAGCCCAGGCTGACCTTGAACTCATGATCCTGCAGGTGTGTGCAACCACATCTGGCTTCTTTGGTTCTTTAGCCAGACTGAGTAGTAGGTGATTTCAGTCATACTCCACCTAACTCTGATGGTGAGATCACAGACATGGATACAATAAAATCCAAAGACCTAAAGTTTTATTCTCTTACAGTTCACTATGCCAAGATTATAAGGAAATGTCATCTTCTTAAAAAATGATTCACTTTAGAAATAACACATCTAATAGTGAAGAGGACATGAGAGAGTGTCACCATGAAAAACCCTGACACAGGAGCTAGAGAAATGGCTCAGTGGTTAAGAGCAGAGCCTTGGTCTTGCTGAGTACTGGAGTTTGATTTCTAGCATCCACATGGCAGCTAACAACTGTCTTGTAACTCCACTTCCAGGAAGTCCAACACTCTCTTCTGACCTCCACAGGCATTGCACAACACAGGTACATTTACATACATGCAAACAATAC